CCTGTTCTCCTTACCCTTCCTTTGCACAACACAGAACCTATGATAAGGTTCTTTACATGAGCCGAAAACTACAGCTGCTCCTGCTCAGCTCAACATGTAATCGCCTTTTCCAGTTAGCCTGAAGGCTAGCCGCCCTGCTCGCTAACTCGGTACAAAAATTAGATACCTAATCTTGCCCTGACCGCGCTCCTCTTGAAGGACTGACGCTAAGTGAAAACGCAGGACACAACTCTTACCTAAATGATGATCTCTTGCATCGCCATCTGGATGTACTGCATAAATTCCGAGCAGAGGCTCACCAATAATGATTTGTCATGTCCTCATGAAACATCACCACCCTCAGCTAGTACATGATTGCCAACAAAAATCCGCGTGTCGGCAACTTTTAGATTTTTTTCTGTTGGAGACCGTTTTATCTGAAGCCTCCCCGCACTCGCCAGATGCTACTGATTTCAACCTATTCTGTCCTCATCTCCTTCTTCCCAAGCCTCAAGCTACGAATTTAGTCGCTCGAAAAGCCTCGTCCGACCGCCATTCATCCAACCAGGCCGGTCTCCTGCCTACTCCCAAATGGTCCCCCTAACTTAATCGAAGTTGTCCGTGATTCTACATCGGCCAGACTATACCTGTGCCAACCCCTCGTCGCACTCCGATCCAGCGGCCGCAGGGATGCGGGTCCGTTGTCCGATTGCAGCAAAATTGACGATAGCTACAAGGATGTCCAGAAACTGAAGGATTTTGGTGGGTCGGTTGCATGACACTGCCAGACCCAATTTGATGGCAAACTTGCTACCATTTTCTTCATATCCTTGACCTTAACCTGTAATTGTGGTTACGAAACATCATTCACCTGGCCTCAACCGCATCTAAGTAGAGTCCAGTCGAACCCTCTGAACCTTTCATTTGCATTTAATCTACCTCGATTCCCGATGCGATTTGGGTTTGCGCCCTCTGCAATTTTAGTTGCATTTGCAGCTTTCGTTTAATCCCGCGCAATGGCATTATAAACTCATCGAACCTATCCTTTACACCTAACTTCCTTTAGGAGTAAAATCAACAAGTCTTCTCAGTCTTTCAGTGTAGACAATTTCTTG